CAGTGTGTGTGTGTGTGTGTGTGTGTATTCTCCCTCTCTCTCTCTCTCCCTCTCTCTCTCTCTCTCTCTCTCTCTCTCTCTCTCTCTCTCTCTCTCTCTCTCTCCCCCTCTCCCTCTTTCTCTCTCTCCCTCTCACCTTCTCTATCCCTCCCTCCCTCTCTCTCCCCCTCCCTCCTTCCATCTCTCTCTTTCTCTCTCGCATTCACAAAAATGGGAAGGGGGTGGGAGAGAGGATGCTAAGATGAGATTTTCATTGGTGTTATCTACTTTCTTGTAACACCTCTAATCTTCGCCACTTCGGTGACCTTATTGTGTTGCCAGAACCGTAAAATGCTTACTGAAACAAATTACTTTTTTACTTTTATTCGCCGCCTATACCCTTTTGGGTGTCGCCAAATTAAAACAAATAAAACATAATAAGATGGTACTGGGATTTTCTTTCCTTCCTTGTCAGTTTACACAAGAACTTGATCGAGCATCTGAACGCTGAGGTTGTCCTACAGACCATCACGAACATATCGCTGGCTGTCGAGTGGATGCGTCACACCTTCCTCTATGTCAGGGTCATGAAAAATGCCAAGCACTATGGTAATGGGTTTGTATATATACATGCATAATATATATAGAGACTAGATTTAATAATGTTAAGTTGCAACTTGTGGGCTTTCATATTTCTGTCTACAATTTTGTCTGAAAACCCACTCATGTTTTTCTTTTTAAAAAGAAATAAAAATCACTTGCTTTTGCTTTTGTCTTTGGAGAGTTTGTTAATGTTCTCTTTGTAAGAGTTTTAATGCTTTATTTTGTATTATCCTAAATAGATCATTTGGAAGGTGGATCACAAAGTTTCCCTTTATAATTTAGCAAAGCAGAGAAATATAGTCTGGAAAGAACGTGAAAATCTCATGAAATTCAGGCCTGTTTCAAAATCAAATCTCATCCTATTTTGCCTTCTCTTATTTGTCAGACCGTTAACAATTAAACCTTGGCATGGTTAACCTCCCCCCCCCCCCAATCCCCCATTGTCAACAATTGTTAATAGTGTGACTATAGTGTTGTGCTCCAGAATATTATAGCTTCCACTTTTAAGACCATACGGTAGATTCCTCTGCTGCTGAAAATGAGTGACTATGGAAAGAAGACTGGAAAACAGGAATGATCTCTTTCTCCGTCATTTTAGGAAATGTGGTTTTTTTTTGTGTGTGTGTGTGTTTTTTGTTTTGTAAAGTGTTTTACGGCGCTCGCAACTGCATAGGTCATATGAGCGCGCAGGACACCCCTAATATTTTCAGTTGGTAGGAAATTTTGAATTTTGCCCGGGTGGCGGCCGAAGCCTACTCTTATCGATTTTAGACCACCAAGGGATCTTTAACGTGCGCAACTTGCACACGGGCCCTCCGAGATTTTTCGCCCTTGTCCGAGAAGGCTGGGTGTAGATCTTTCCTACCAGAAGATCAGGGGCGTGGCAGAAAGACAGCAGTAAGGAGGAGCCAAGGAGTAGCAGTAGAAAGGCTGCAGAAAGAGTCAGGAGCCCAGAGGAAGGGGCAAAGGAGGTGAGGGGTGGGGGCAGAAAGAGGAGACGAAAGCAGACGACAGAACATTGCTAGAGAGCAGGAAATGGGGTGAAAAGAGACAAATTTAGAGAAGAAAACTTTTCGGTCGCTACCCGGATTCGAACCCGGGACCTTTGAATGAGAGGCCAACACCTTAACCTCTAGGCCACGAGAGCCCCCAAATGTGTTTTAAGGAGACATGTACCGAAATCATTTGGAAAAAAAGAACCCATAAATCGAAGCAAGAGAGACAAATCAGAACAAATCTTAAACATGTATAAAGAACGACAAGGACAAATATGAAGTTTTTCTTCTCCTTGTACGAGTTCCTGATCCAACATTCCGCAGTGTCTTGAGACTGTTATTTTTCCTCAACACGATGAAGGTGTCAACTCATGCTTAATAATTTCCAGGTCTTCCCGCTGCGCTGGATAAGGCTGACATAGAGACAAGGCTGCAAGGTGGGTATGGGAATTGTTGAGGTAGGTGTACAATGATGAGAAGTTGTCTTGTTTTACTCTAGCATTTGAGGTAACTGGAGTGGTTGTGTAGGGTGTAAGTTGCTCATCCCTGAAATTTCCTCCCAAAATTTAAAACATATTCCAATTTCTCATCGCTCTGCACTTCGTGTGTACATTTTTGTCTCAGGAGCAAAAGCAGTTGGCTATAATTAATACGAGCTCTACAATTTCATTGAATAGTGGAAGTAAAGAAGCGGAATCATACAGTTATTTCCTGCTGTGGGAAAACACATTTTTCTTTAGTTGTCACTCCATAATGTATATATATATATATATATATATATATATATATATATATATATATATATATATATATATATATATATATATATATATATATATATAGAGAGAGAGAGAGAGAGAGAGAGAGAGAGAGAGAGAGAGAGAGAGAGAGAGAGAGATAGATAGATAGATAGGTAGGTAAGTAGGTAGATAG